AGCTTGCAATGTATTTGATTGTAATGCTGGAGAAACTCACTAATTTTGAGCAATTCTGCTGAACTCTGGCACTCCGCCCCCCTTATGCTTGTGCTGACCTTGAGGAGCTGAAATTTAACCCGAGGGGCCAATGAGACCTGTGGTCTTCCAGATATTGTTAGGCTCCAGGTTTTGTCAACTCCATCCAACATGACCAGTGATGATAGAGAATGTAGCCCTCCAGATGTGGTGTTACAGATTTTCTTCCCTTTGGAGAGAGAGTGTAAAGTAGAGCCATTCTGGACGGCCACAACCCCTTTAACCACGAAAGCTCAGGGCACTGGAGATTTCCAATTTTATTGTTGTTAGATTAGATTAGGCATCCTTCAGTCTCGAGAGACTATGGTAACATGCTCTGAATAGAGATCTTGGAACAGTATGGCTGAGAAGGCCAATTCAAGAGTGACAATCCTTTCCACACTGAAGACAAATACAATTTGTACCCCATCAAGCTCCCTGCTTTTGCTGTTTTCAGGACTGCCTCTTTGCCTCGGCCTGCTGGACAAGGGTCTCTTCAAATTGGGAGAGGCCGTGATGCACCGCCTGCCTCCAGGCTGAACACTCAGATGTCAGGGTTTCCCATCTGTTGAGGTCCATTCCTAAGGCCTTCAGATCCCGCTTGCAGATCTCCTTGTATCGCAGCTGTGGTCTCCCTGTGGGGCGATTTTCTTGCACTCATTCTCCATATAGGAGTTCTTTTGGAATCCGAACCATCAGCCATTCAGCAATCAGTTTTATTGTTGTAGATTTTAAATAAAAGCCAATTTCCTTCTAGCCCTCATGATAAAGAAGGAAAGTGGGAATATGTAGATTCTCCTTTCTTTCGATTCAGCTAGCTAACTCAGTGTCATGGAATAAGAGTTTTGCATTTCCTCTTTGCTAAAGGAACTTACAAGATTGTCGCTCTCGAATTATTTCCCTGCTTATGTTTATTTAACACACATCTTCAAAGATATAGCATGAACCAAAAAACCCCCCATCAAAGTACAGATTCTCGATCAGGAACACCAGGAAATAAAATGAATTGAAGTCCACACAAGCTTTCTGTCTGAAAGGTGTTGAGTTACGTGTACGTTCAAGCTGCTGTGGCAGTTGTGGGCAACTATGGATGTGATCACACCGGGAAAGAGACAGCTCTATGGGCCATTTGTGGTGCAGTTTATTTCCTAGCGATTACACAGTATATGGGCTCCAGATTGACCTGTGCCAGCCGGACTCCCTTGGTCCAGATGTAGGTCTTTTACTAATTTTTGGAGCTGGGCTGGAGTGATTCTCCTGCAGATGGAAAAAATAGCTTTAAGGGAGACCGTTCAGAGCAACCCTTTTTGGTGTGAAACAGGTGTGCGCCTTTGCAGCTGTCTGATGTACCCTTTGTACAGGTATGAGAAATAGGTATGCCATAGGAGCTGCATCCAGCCCAGAAATGTCCAGAAATGGGGAGGGAAAAAGAAAGAAAAAAGAAACCAGGAGAAAAGAAGAATAGAACAGCTTGGTTAGCCAATTCTAATTTTGATTTCTGGCTTGCCCCATCATGACCCTAAAGTAAAAAATTGCCAAAACCCCCCCAATTGAAAAAAAGAACCATTTCTCCCAAACATTATTATTATTATTTGCAATAGGGACAGTAATGGGATGCAATAGTTTGGCGGGAGCTGGGACAAGTGATGGGAGCTCACTCCGATGCGTGGATTTGATCTTATGACTGCTTGGTCTTCTGACCTTGCAGCACAGAGGCTTCTGCGGTTTAGAACTGCATGGGTTCATCCAGGTGGAGCATTTATTCTCCGGTGGGCAAAAACTTGTGTAACTTTCGGCCTCGTGTAAACTGAATTGAGCACTGGAAACATTTAATGTTCATTAGTTAAAAGCTTCTTATCTGCCTGTTTAAGATTCCGAGGCTACCTGGGGCTCTCTTTTGCCTTGGGGAGCCTCTGGGAGCCTCGGAAGAGAGCAGGGAGCCTTTAAAAGTAAAAATCCTCACTAGATTAATACTGCTGGGATTGGGACCGCCACCGTTGAGCAGGACTCCAGCTATTTTATTGTGCTTGGGAGCTGGGGGAAAATGGGTGTAGGATTTTCTGCCCCAGGAGCTAGAATAACATGGTTGGCCCTTCGTATGATGTACGAGGGAGCGGGCTTGCCTCAGGCAGCAAAATATCTGAGTCAGCTGTCCCTGGATGCTCTGATCCTGCCTCATAAGAGCTGGAGACGATTATTTGGTAGGGAGAAAGAGATACACACACTGCACACACTGAAAAGAAAGCCAACTTTTCCCTCTTAGTGTTCCTCAACGTTAGGTAAACCAGGCGTTTCTGGACTTCATCACCCAGAAAACCCAGGCAGGACAGCTAGTGGCGAAGGCTTTTGGGAATTGTAGTCCAAGAACATCTGGGGACCCAAGGTTGGGAACTGCTGCTCACTGAGTTTTTGTCAACCCAGAGTAAAATCCCAGGCACACGCCAGGTTTCAGGGAGATGCTTTGGCTCCCTTTAAAGCCAGCTCATCTCTCAGTTCCTTCGGCTCCTCGCCCCGCTTGTAGACACTGACGGTCACCCTGCCTGTTTCAGAGCCCCACTTGTTCTTGACATGGATGCTGAACTTCCCAGAGTCGTTGCTGCCGATGTTCTCAATGGTGATCGTAACCACGGTCCCTTTCACTTCCATCTTGTACCGATCTTTGAAGGCGATCACGTTCTCGTTCTTGTACCAAGTGATTTCTGGGTAGGGGTCGCCAGATATGATGCACGTCAAGCAGAGGGTCTGTTTCACAAAGAAATGGAGATACACAGCATGAGTGGCAGGAACTCGCGCTTGAGCTACAGCCTCAAAAAACAATTTTTCTAAGCTCCACTGCACCAGTAACTTCTAAAACCGAGGGAACTGAGGCAATGCATAGTTCAGATGTAAATTGTTGTTGTTGTTTAGTCGTTAAGTCGTGTCTGACTTTTCGTGATCCCATGGACCAGAGCACACCAGGCCCTCCTGTCTTCCACTGCTTCCCGGAGTTGGGTCAAATCCATGTTGGTTGCTTCGGTGACACTGTCCAACAAATGTAAGTACAGCTCCTTAAATGTCTGATCTACACAGCAGCACATTTTAATGGGTGCAGTTGGACCCCAGTTATGCAGTTGGGGGGGAAATGGTGCCATTGGAAACTGATAGTGCCGCAATTGGAGAAATACAGTACAAATTAGAAAAGTTGTACATACCTGTTTATGATGGACTTAAATGAACAGGCCATGCAATGAAAGGTCACAAAATGCTTGGTTTCTATACTCCTATAAATTGCCCACATCAGATAGAAACAAATGCTTATTTTTTGACTGGAACCTTTTTTCCCCTTCACTTTATTCTGTACTGAAAGTCTGCTGGCTTTCTTGATTGTCGTGTGAGGGCCTAGTCACACGGGCCATTTGAATCGTTTCAATTTATAATTTAATTTTTACCAATATATATTTATGTCATGTCACGTGGTATATAAATCATTGGGCGTGTTCACACAGTTGTCTTTTCTTTTAATACATTTCTGGAATGTTGAACAGGGTCTGTAGGCTAATGCCCAATAAAATCAACTCATTTTCTGTTCTGTTTCAGGACCATACTGCTCTAAAATTGCTTTATTATTATTAGTTTTTGTTAAAATACCTAAGTGATATATTGCTAAAGCATCATCTAAATTTGTGTAAAAAACTTTAGAAGGCAATATTGGAAGAGGCCTCTGAACATAATGTTTCCCTTGGCAGTTCTGTGGTTTTAGGGTGCTTTTGTGGGATGTTTCGCCATGTTGACAAGGGAAGGGATGAGCGAGGATGAATGTTACAATAAGGATGTGATGCAGCTGTAAACTCTTAGTTGAGAGAACAGTGATACATCGCTTAGCACTTAAAAAAACATTTCATTGACTCGACAGCACGCAATAACTATGATTAATATTACCTTGTTTTCCATGATGGTTGCCACGTCTGGAAGGCCACGAACCACTTTGGCTCGGTCTGGAGAAAGGACAGACATTGTTATTATATATTCAATTTTTAACTGACTTTTCTGTCAGCAAAACAGAGGTGTAACAGCATACATACATCATATTCACCAAGATTCTATAGGGTTTTTTAACACTGGCATTAACACAGTCAGTGTAAATCTCAGTGGCGGACTGGTGCAAGTTAAGAAATCAGTACATCATTTGCTGTTCTGCACCCACTCAGCATGGCAGTAAATGCCCATGTTGACTTATTTCCTTGTGACTTATTTATTTGCTGCCAAGGTTTATGCTAACGCCTATCTAATCAATTAAGATTACTCTATGCCAAGTGCATTATGCTGGTAGGTGCTGCTATTAGGATTTTGACCATATTAATCATGTTAACAGCTGATGGTTACTTTTGTAGGCTCCTGATTCCTAGAAGGGGCAGCACAATACGTTGTCGTGGAAAGTGGTAAACTCACACTCAGAGATTTTTAGGAGAGGCTGGAGGACCACCTTTATGACTGCTCTAAGAGCAGATTTCCTTTTGAGGTCATGCCAATTCTATGGCAAGCTTGTGATAACTGGGGATCCCTCTTTCTCTAGCTACTGGACTTCTGTACACTCAGAAGCATGGGGGAGGGGCAAAAAGTGGCTTATAATTTGAATGTGCAATAGGACTTCTTATCTGCGGGATCAGTATCCACTGATTCATTTATGTGCGGCCTGAAAATACTCAATAAAAAAGCTCCAGGATGTTTTACTGGAACTGGCTGCTAAAGAGAGCCGGAGACATGCAATGTATAGCATTCAATATTTCCAGATTTTTTCAGCATCCATGGGGGGTGGGTGGGTTGGAACCCATCCCCGACAGCCATTATGACCCTACAGTAAACTGCAGGGAATTTCTTGCTACATTTAACTGAGCTGTGGAACTGAGATAAAAAGCTCCAGGATGTTTTACTGGAACTGGCTGCTAAAGAGAGCCGGAGACATGCAATGTATAGCATTCAATATTTCCAGATTTTTTCAGCATCCATGGGGGGTGGGTGGGTTGGAACCCATCCCCGACAGCCATTATGACCCTACAGTAAACTGCAGGGAATTTCTTGCTACATTTAACTGAGCTGTGGAACTGAGATTGGGGAAGCTGGGGGGGGTTGGAACCCATCCCCAACAGCCATTACGACCCTACAGTAAACTGCAGGGAGTTTCTTTCTACATTTAACTGAACTGTGGAACTGAGAGTGGGGAAGCTTTCTAGCGACATGCTGCTTGCTGAAGGAGTGTCTATTTGCTCTCCGCATTTTCTGCTCGTATATATTGGTACGTGCGGTGACTATTAGAAAGAAATTCTATTTCTGCAGCTTTCAAATGTATAAGGAAATGAAACTGTGGGAGAATGCCCTCGAAACCTGTCAACAGTTAAGAAAGTGGGAAGTATATAATAGTAGNTAATAATAATAATAAACCAGTGCTAGAAGCACATCGGTTAAAACAAAGCACGCATCTTCATATACTCACGCTCTTCCACAACAGCAGCTTGCCTAAAATTCAAAGTTACAGAAGAATTAAACACGGATTTCTTCACTTAAATCTAATAGTCAGTGAAAAGGGTGCTGCCTTATTGCCTTATACTTTTATATGTTTTCTCCCTTTCTGTGGAGCTATTCCATTAAACAAACTCAATGGCCCTGTGGCATCGGTCAGACAATGTGTGTGTGTGTGTGTGTGTGTGTGTGTGTGTGTAAAAGTAGTTTATGTGACTTCCAAGACCCATTCATCAGCTTTGTAGCTGGTCAGGGATTTCAATCCGGGTCCCTGTGTTTTAAATCCAACCTGCTAACCACTGCCTGCCTCTCTGTGTTGTGCAGAGTGTCAAGGTACTCTGTGAAGCCCCAGATAAGGAAGGGAAACATGCCCTATTCAAAAGAAAAGGGGTTTTTTTGGGGGGGGGGGACTTACTTGAGCTTTTGGTGTTCAGCCAGGGCATCATCGAAAGCTATCAACAAAAGACAGAAGGGTTTGGAGTGAATGGATGGCGACTTAGTCGAATGATAAAGTGTGAAAACAGCTAGTAAAAATAATAGTTCCGAGTCTTCGTCACCGAGGAACAAACATTTTGCTTATCGCCACGGAAGTTCCCACTTTGTTTTTTATTTCCTCTACTAAATTTTGAACAACCAGTTTTAGCAATCGAGATGCACCCTGGTACGTACATCCTTAACTTAAATTTGATGCCATGGGTTGCATAAACTCTACCCAAATGCCAAGAAGATTCTGCCCATTCCTTTTAATGGAGACTCCTCATCTTTTCAGCTCAGGGATATTAACCTGGAGATTCAACTGGAACAGTTCAATCCCTATGTCTGGAATAACCAGGCCCAGACCTTCTTAGCTGCAGCATGACTACTGTATCATAAGGTTTCAGACAATAGAGCCCTAACACAGACAGATTTCCGACTCCTGTCCGCTGAAGATGCCGGCCACAGAGACTGGCGAAACGTTAGGAAGAAAAACCTTAAGAACACCGCCAAACAGCCCAAAAAACCTACAACAACAATATAGCCTTAGTTGTTCCAGTTCCCATATTTTCATCTGAACATTAGAAAATGGACAATTAAAAACATGCACACCTTTTCAAATGAAGGAACATGGAATCATAGAAAAGTGATGTTGGAAAGAACCTATAAGGCCAACTAGGGTTTGGAGTGAATGGATGGCGACTTAGACAAATGATAAAGTGTGAAACAGGTCATCTGTTCCACTGTTGTGTCTACATTTCTCTGGAATGCCTCCAGCGTTGGAGGGCTTAACCCCTTCCCCAGGTCATCTGTTCCACTGTCGTACTGCTCGAACAGTTAGGAAGTTTTTCCTGATATACAGTTGAAATGTCACTTGAGCCCATTGTTGTGAGTCCTGCACTCTGGGATGATCGAGAACAGATCCTGCCCTTCTTCTGTATGACAGCGTTTCAGGTATTTGAAAAGTGCTATCCTATCTCCCCCTCTGTCTTCTTCTCTCAAGGCTAAACATGCCCAATTCTTTCAGTCTTTCCTCACAGGGCTTGGTTTCCATCCTCCTGATCATCCTTTTCACCCTCCTCTCAACTTATTCCAATTTTTCAACATCCTTCTTGAAGTGTGGGGTCCAGAACTGAACACAATAATGAAGGTGTGGCCTTTCCAGTGCTGAATAGAGGGGGACTAGCAGCACATGGGATTTTGGAAACTACAGTATACTTTTAACATGTACGTATATAACACGTGTAAATATGCAGTAATGTTCTTTCCCCCCCTAAATGATAGGAGAGACCCATGGACACATGCTGTTGAACCTGGCAACCTACTAAGGAAAAGAATATTAATGCCAAGGTAGGGTTTTATTGTTGAGATTAGGAATTGACTCTGAATAAGAAGCTCAGGATGTTTTCCTAACAAAAGCATTCTCAGCTTTCTCACTTACCTTTCCCGGAAAGATCTGTTGCCAGTTTGCGTGACTCCTTCCCGTCAAACAGCTCTAAGGTATATTTGCCTTTGTCGGATTCTTTCGGATCCAGGATGTGGACCCAAACCTGGTCCATGGTGGTTCCTATTTTTAGGTGATCTCCTCCTTCCAGACGCTTGTCGCTGAGTGCACAGAATGGTGCAACGTTACCAACAACAACCTTAGGAATTCCTTAAAAAAAATACATCTATGGGTCCTTCCAATGACGGCAGGGCTAGAGTTAGAACACCCTTTTCCAGGGACGTCGGCAGGTCTTTGGGTCCGAGTTCAAGTCTGAGTCCCTATTTTTTTAAAAAAGCTTTTTCTCCAGAACAAAAGGGTACCAACAACAACCTTAGGAATTCCTTAAAAAAATACATCTATGGGTCCGTTCAATGACGGCAGGGCTAGGGTTAGAACACCCTTTTCCGGGGATGTCGGCAAGTCTTTGGGTCCGAGTTCAAGTCTGGGTCCCTATTTTTTAAAAAAGCTTTTTCTCCAGAATAAAAGGAAGGGGATGGATGGGGACATGAGTCGCAAGTGGAGTCCAAGTCATTGAACCGCCCCTTGAAGTCAAGTCCAAGTTGAGCAACTTAACAGTGCAACTTAAGTCCAAAAGTTCAACTTAAGTCCAACTTGATTGTGAGTCCTATGACTCCAGGCCTCATCCTTCCTATTTTTCAGTGCCAGCATCACTTAGAAGTCTCTTCACTGCACGTTGTCAGCTGACTGTTCCTGAGCATGAGCAGAATGCTTTCCCGTTACATCAAGACACTGGATCTTGCACAGGATCTCTCAAAATAGCTTCCTTGCCACCCAAAACAAAAACAAGTAAAGGAAGAAATTCTTCTGATCCAAAAATAAAATTCTCCCTCTCTCTAGGGATTCATCTGCTAGGGGGGGGATAGCTCAGTGAGTTAGGCCTCTGGCTGTGGAGCTAGAGGTTGGGAGTTCAATTCCTCACTTTGCCTTCAGAGAGATGAGCCAGCCTGTGTAGCCTTGGGCAGGCTGTGCAGTCCCAGAAGAAGGGAATGGCCAACCATTTCTAAGTCCTCTAGAGCAGTGGTCCCCAACCTTGGGCCTCCAGATGTTCTTGGACTACAACTCCCAGAAGCCTTCACCACCACCTCTGCTGGCCAGGATTTCTGGGAGTTGAAATCCAAGAACATCTGGAAGCCCAAGGTTGGGGACCACTGCTCTACAGTATACCCTGAAAATCCTGTAACTGCGCTCTAGGTTACCCTAACTTTGCCCAGCCGTCCAGAATACTCTCTTAATGGCAGGAACTTCTCAAAAATATATATGATAAAGACATACTTGTGACACCAGGTGGCTTTCATCGCCTCCGTGTAGTACTTCACCTCGCTGTAGATCTTGATGCCTTCGGCCGTAGGCTGGACTTTCAAAGGTGATGCCGAGAGAACTGATCATAAAATTGCGAGTGGAGGAGAAAGGCCTTTGAGAAAGGTGATTAAGCCTCCTTTTTTGGTTTTGTTTTCCTATTTTCTTTAACCAGTCACCAACCAAATGAAACCTACATCTATACAACACCGATGTCACTAGCGGAGAGGTTTAGAAGGAAACCGGCCACTTACCGCTGATCCTGGCAAGTTCTTTGAGGATGTCATCGAACACTGGAAAAGATAATTGGCAGAAAAATGGGTGTAACTGTAGGGGAGTTGCTAATCGTGCCCCTGGCAGGCTGTTGGCACCCAGCGCTGGCACCCAGGCAAGACACCTGGTTCGAACTACACAGGACACAGGATGGGACCTTCCAACCCAGGAGATGGAGGAGACAGTGGCTAAGGTGGCTGCTTATGCTACCCAAGGTTGATGACATCATCAGCCATTGTGGTTTTTTTGGAAATTTAGGGGTTTTGGTAAAACAAACTACACAATGAGCATATTTGAGGTTGGCTCAACCTCTCCTCTATGCAGAAAGGGAATGTGCTCCTCAATAAATAAAGAAGATCTTACCTTCCTTAGTAAGATCAAGTTGAGTCGTGTCTTGTCCTCGATCATCAGAAACCACAGCTTTGTATACCCCTATATCTGTTTTGGTAATCTAGCAACAGACAAACACACATGTGTATTCACAAATGAGAAGTCTGTGACATGCCCAGGGAATAGCAACATAGGTCCTTATATCGGCAGATTCAAAGTCTGTAAGACATGCGGAGAATATCTCTCAATGGCTGGCCACCTCCGTGAAATAAAAGTTTTTAAAAAAGCTTTTTAATTTGATCAGAGAGGAATAGTTTCCTCTACTGGTTATCTAACCCTTTCCTGTGCAACGGAGGTAGCTCTTCCAACCAGGCCCCCAGCGCAATGCTTTAAAAGCACAGGACTTGCGTGCAGGAGGTCCCGGATTTAACCCTTGGCATCCTCAGGTGAGGCCAAGAAACGATACCTGGAGACCCACCACCAGTCAGACTCTGCACCAGTGGTGAGAGCCATCTTTCATCCCAAGGGCAGAATTCAATTTCAAGAAACTTCCCAGGGCATGCATTCTAGTTTTGAACAGGCCCAAACACAGTGGTGGTGAAATAACACGAATTAGGATCCTGTTTGCAATTGTACTGTACAGTAGGATCCCTTTATCTGCAAGATCAGTATCCACCGATTCAATTATCCATAGTCTGGAAATATTAAAAATATTAAAAGAAAGATCCTGGAAATATATATTTCTAAGGATGAAGTTAGCAGATCTGGTCACTAGAGGGAGGTAGAAACCATGCTACGTACGGTGTTCACTAGTAAAATAGTGTTTGCTATAATCCGCGTTTTTCAATATCCACAGGAAGATTTGGAAACAATCGCCTGCAAAGATGGGGTTCCTACTGTATAAACATATACAAGTTAAAGCAGTGCTGAGCGTTGTGCGATGGATGTGGGGCTACACAGCTCTTCCATTGTTGGGACCCCTTGCACAACCTTTCATTGTGGCAACCAACACAGGCTGCTAGCTTAAAGCTATTGAAGCTTAAAGCGGCTACTGCTAGTAACTAAATAGTACAAGAGGTGTTTCGGACTTTCAGAATTGGGGTGGCAAGTAAGTCATACAAAATCTGGATAACTACCAAATGGCCCCATTGCAGAGAATGGGGCCCTGCTATCTGGTAAGCTGTGGAAGGCAATATCGGGACCCCAGGAATTCCAGAATCAGCCTCCCGGTTGTGAGATCGCTCCCCTTCCTGCAAACCCCCTTTTTTCACCTTCTTAATCTGTAGAACTCCAGCGCCGGTCTTTGGATTGTATTGACCATCCGAGCGCAAGTTGTCATCAAAAAACCATTTGAAGGTGCTCTCCTTCTTCATGTTGGCTGCCTGTTAAAAGGAAGCATGACGGGGATGATGGGCATTTACGTGAAAGCCAAGAAACATTGACAAGGCAGAAAATAATCTTGGATAAGGAACAGACATTAGAGATAACCCATTAATGGAAATCGGAAATCCTTAGCTAATGTAAACATCTAAGTGTCCATGATCAGCTCCTGTCACCTCTGCAATTATGTAGTTTAGTTTTGTTTATGTTGTTTCATTTGTGCAGAATCCCTCTGAAATTAATTCCACAAGCATGGAAGGATCTTCTCAGACCCTTTTCGGACTCATTAACCTGCTCTCTCCTCTAATTATGGGCTCCCTCTAAAGTCTGTTTCCGCCCTGCCTCTGGGACAGCATCCCAAATACCCATCTCTGTTGGGGCAACTCTGTTACTGGGTGCTTGCCTGGGTGGAGGAACACTGCCTCTGAACCAAAATGGTCCAGGAGTATATTGCCCAGTTGCTTTGAAATGTTCCAATTTTTAGCATGCCAAAAGCTGACACAAGGACCCTCAGATTCATGGCACGCGTGGATAAAGAGTCTAACCCTTTCCTGCTATGCTCCAGTTTCGGTAAATCTACACTGAAACCCTCTCTTAATGATTGTGTGCTGTCAAGTCAGTTCTACCTTACAGCAATCCTTTTCCAGGATTTTTCATGTGTAGAGAATGCTAAAAAGTGCTTTACCCTTCTGTTCCTCTAGGGGCGCTCTGGGGCTGCGCAGGTTTCCGAAGGCTACCCAGGCTGGCTCTACTTGCAGGAGGTACAGCGGGGAATCAAACTCCCAGCCCAGATACCGAAACCACTCTGAACTATCCAGAATGGTAGGTTGTTGTTTGTCTGATATTTTAAAAATTAGATCTGTTAATTGAAATCATGCATATTTAGATTTCAGAGACTGGAATCGTGGGAATAGAGCAGCTGGAGGAGCTGAAATTAGATCTGTTAATTGAAATCATGCATCAAGACCCGCCTCTTATTTAGATCTCAGAGACTGGAATTGTGGGAATAGAGCAGCTGGAGGAGCTAAAAGCGTGAGGACAAAGCGCCCTGCATTTTGTGAATGCAACAGTTGGCCACTTCTCAGCTGCAGACATGATTTGTCCTCATGATTCATGGTCCGTCCCACTTTCTGCTATTTACCTTGCAAGTCAGCAGGACTTCACAGTCCTTAGTGACCTTCCACTGCAGCTGTTCAATAAAATGAGGGCCTGTTAAGAGAAAGAAGCCAATCTTATAAATCATCCTTCTGTGGGCTTTAGCAGCATCTTCTAGCACCATCTTGTGGCAAATGGTACCCAAGCACCTTTTGAATGAATCCACGTGCAAGCACACATCAAGTCACTTCCAACGTATGGCAATCCAGGAATGAATTATTTGCAAAAGGTTATATTGTCCCAAAGAGTCTGACACAACTTAACTACTAAACAACAAGTATTGTCAGCTGCCCCACTCAGGTTTTGCAAAGTCAAGGCCACAACATCCCATGGCTTCCTTTATCAAGTCAGTCTATCTTCAGTTACGTTTTTTTTTCCATTCCTACTGCCTTCAACTTTTCCTAGTGTTAGTATTTTCCTATAATATGCCCCCATATATTCTTGATTATTCCCGCTTGCCATATTTTCAGTTATTTTTAATTTATTAGATGATTGCTGTTATTTCGGGGTATATGTGTGCTTTATTTTTTAAAGATATTATTTGTGATTTATTTTATGTTTATGTTACTTTGGATGTAAACTACTCAGAGGAGTGCCCTGCAACCAACCAACCAACCAACCAACCAACCAACCAACCAACCAACCAACCAACCAACCAACCAACCAACCAACCAA